ATCACCCGTTTCACTGAAGAGAACTTTGCTACACTGATTGCCTTTATCTTCATATACAAGGTGTGTTTTAGCAGGATGAGTGCATGTTCCATCTTTGTTTTTTTCTTTTAAAAGTTTGAAAAATATTTGAAGTTAACTTTAGGGAATTATTCCAAGTTTGGAAATTTCAAATTAAATTGTAAAAATGCATTCCATATATAAATTTGCCTGCTGACATTTACCAAAACTAAAAAAAAAAAAAATTAAATGAACTTTAGAGTGGATATCTTAGCATTGCTCTTTGCAATTAGTTTGTTTGTTCAGCTCTTTTGAAATTTATTGAAAATAAAAGCTAGAGGCAATCCTAAGACCCTTTCAAGTTAATGAAATATTATCACCAGGCTTGTTATAATTGCATGTGCTAAACCTAAATTTAATGAAGGTCTGTTTTTCATCTTCTTTTCTCATAGGCTATTGAGAAAGTGATCAAGATTGGCTCGAAGTATCCAATGGAGACTCATGTTGATACCCCAAAAACATGCATGTGTACTCTTGGGAATGAAACTGAATATGTTAATTCAACCTATCCATGGTACAATGCTACGGAAGAAGATTGCGTTATGGTAAGTTTTTAAATTTTTTTATTTACTATTTTCCTAATTATTGAGGGCTTAGATGTTAGTCTTCCTTTGCATTTGCATTAGATTTATGAAATGTTATTAAGGCATAGTTGATGATATGTTTTTAGGGAACTGCCTGTTATTATTGTTATGGCAGTCATTCATTTAGCATTTCATAGAGGAACTAATTTGTATCTTTTGAGCTATATTCTTTTCTACTTGATCTCCCCATGAGTAGTGATGCCCACACTAAAATTTTTAAAACTGAAATTAAGATTTTGGTAGGTGATGGGGGGGTTGCCACAGTCCATACTGACAGAACAATGTTAATTCTATTTATTTATTCCCAAGATGGGAATGGAGTTAGGACATGATATTCATAAGGATGATTTATCAGGGATGTACAACTATGAAACTTAGTTATAATCAGTCAACCCCCCCCCCCCCCCCCACCATCTCTGGATAATTCCATTAATTACATAAAAATATCTTAATTACCAAATGTTCATTGTTGGTGTTGTTTTTTGAACAGCTCTATGAAGGAAAGATGATGGGCACTGGCTGCAAGCCCTTTTATCCAGATGTTTACTTGCTCTCCTTCATCCTCTTCTTTGGAACTTTCCTTATCTCGGTGTACTTGAAGGACTTCAAGACTGCTTCCTTCTTCCCAACCAAGGTAAGAACAAGATTTCTTGTGAAGATGAAATAATGATTTTGGTTGCCCTCAGTTGGACATATCTATACGGTTGCTTTTAATGGTCCTGACACTCGCCTCTCCTTTCAGGTCCGACAGTTCATCAGTGATTTTGCTGTTATCATAGCTATCCTTACCATGAGCTTCTTCGACTTTGTAGTTGGCATTCACACCCCAAAATTGGAAGTCCCAGAAGAGTTCAAACCCACCTTGGATGGTCGTACTTGGCTTATCCCACTTTTCAATGGTAAAATAGTGTTCTTACTCATATTTTTCAACCTTATTCTGTCTGTTAGATTTGTTCTTATGATTTGTTCTTATATATACAGTATGTATATATATATATATATATATATATATATATATATATATATATATATATATATATATATATATATATATATATATATATAATATAAATATATATAAATATCTATCTATAAATATCTATCTATAAATATCTATAAA